TAGTTGTGAAAAACCAGATATGTTTCGGAGCTTATTCAGTAGAGGGAATTTGAAGATATTCTTTGGTGCGTATAGTAGCATGTGTTCAATATTCTGTCTCAGCGCACTAACCGTCGCGACTGATTGTGTGCTTGCGAGAGTTGTTCCATGCTTGTTTAGAAACAGCGGTTTCCTCCTGTTGCCGTATTGTTTGTACACATTCGAATAGACCTGCAATTGTCAATGATCACGGAAAATCGATTGCGAATAGAAGTAGAACTTATGCTACTGTTAGTTTGTTCTACTGCACATCATGCGCGCATGTAGATCATTTGCTTGATAAATCTCTTCGCTAAAGTAATATTTTTCAACTTTTGTATATCATTCAAAAAGGTATACAAAGATGGTTTCTGTACAATTACTCATTTTGTTTGCTTTTATAAAGAATTTTAATGTTGTTTGTATTCTAAATCAACAATTGCCAAAGTGGAAAAGAAGAACTTCTGAAACCAAATGTGTACGCATATAGTTTGAAAAACTGTCATGAGTTTATCGTTCAGTAATATCCAGGCTATCGGTTTGACCTTAAGACGACCACTTTGAACTTATGATCCATTTTGATTCTCAAGAAGAGGTTAATGTTGCCTGAGTTCTCGTCGCCTTCTGGATCGCTGTATCTGCCGTGGTCTTTCTCGAAAAGTTGTCCTCGTATAAATATCAGTCCCATACTGGGAAATATACCTAAACGAATTGAACTGCTAGGCAGAAGAATATATCGCAGCCGAGATGAGCAGTTGGTGAGGAAAGATTCAGTAGTTCCAGCAAGGCAAAATAAAGCACAGCGGTACCAAAGCAGAATACTTTCCTCTTGCAAAGGCCGTTGCACTAGCAAAAGTGAACTGGTCAGAGTCTAGCAGAAAAGTATATGATTGTAGAAGCAGATTTTGGAAAAAGCCCTCTAAGAGAAGTGGACTAGTTTGTCCACACTTGCCTTCCGCTCTGAAGGGAAATCGTCTAACTTTGAGTAATAGAAACACTCACAGTTCTTCTCCACACTTTTCACACGTTTTATGCTTATTTGCTCCAGTGAAGGATGATCCAAATGCAGGTTGACAGGAAAGCGCATGCTGTCCTCGGCTGTCGCCTCGTCGGCATGGGTGGACAAGTGCAGGTAGCAGGGTAGTGTCTGGAACTTGAATTGTTACAGGAGTAACAATAAAGTCAGAAGAATTTTTCAGAGTAGTTTGAAGAGATCTCCAGTAATACAAAGT